AAATACTGACTAAATCGAGTTGCTCATTGTTGGAGCTACACCTACATCATCTTGCTTGGATTACCTGAAGGTAAATATTTAGTACAGTACGGTCTACAAATGTAGAGATAGATTTGCTCTAAACGTTCATTTCAGGAGGTTTGTGGGGCTGCCTTATTTGAGCTGATACGGTATACAGAACAATTTACATCTCTCTATTCTACATCAAAAAGCGAGGCAGGATGTTGTCTTCGCATGATAAATCTAAGGCGCTGTGAATATCTCTAGTGAGTTTCCGTTAGTATTTGTGAATTTACACTTAATGGATTTAAGCGTCTTTTGAATTTCAGCATCTTTACAATACTTTTTGTTTGATTGTTTGCTTTACAATTAAGTGACTGAAGTGGACCCTGATGCTTAATATCGTCACTATGTAGTATTTAATCCTAAAATTATTTTAAAAGCTAGAATAAACGCTGTTTTGTCATCACTTAGTTTTGTCAGCATTAAACGCAGCTGCAGCTTTAAGACAAATACATGATCAAATCTTAGCTGAGAGCATTCTCTTATTTTAGGGAAATACAGCTGTAGAATTGATCAAATCTTTCAACTGCTGTCATTTTTTATGCTGCTGTTAAAACCTATGCAGCTCTCATCTTCCAGCTTCTTTTAAGCGTCACAGATTCTCACTCATTATAGTCATATCACGTAATATAAATGAGTCCTTCTTTACACCTGGTAAGTCAGAGAGAATGTTAAAACAATGCTCCAGAGGGTCATAAGGAGATAACCCCCAATGATGAGGTATCTTCTTCCCACGTAGTCTATCAGTAAACCCTGTGGACAAGACATAATTTTCTGTTACTATATTGATCTGATATTTACCAATGTTGTTCTTCAAGAAGAATCGTTACACTTCATGCTAGGAGGTAGAATAAATTGTTACTTACACAGGTGAGGGCTGTGAGGCATTCACAAGCTCCAGTGCCGAGTGTCACATACGGGATTTTTTCTGCTGAGATCCCAGCTTGTTCAAAAACGTAAGTTGCATAAAAATAAATCTACAGAAAAAAAAAAAAAAATGGGGCGTTCCCAGCAGTTAAATCGTCAGCTGGAAACAAGGTCAAGTTCATACTAGATATAGCTCAATGTGTTTCATATTGTGAGTTATTAATTTGATGTAAACAGCAAGAAGAATCTGTTAAATTCATGTCTAGGTAAATAGATTGCTATCATAAAAGCAAATACTTACTGAATATAATACTTCACATTCTTAAACCAGACACAATGGGATAAGCTGATCCACCTTTATTTACTTTTTCAGATGT